AGTTTAAATTACGGAATTTTGGAATCCTTTAACTCTACTATTACAACGATAGCTTCCAATCAGTATAAAATTTATCGCAAAATTAATGAAATCACAACTGAAATTAACATGACTAACTATAAACTGACTGACTATATCAAAATCAATACTTTATTTACAATAATTAATGGAAATTTGGACTCTATATATGAGACATTAGTTTCTTTAGAAAATTCGATTGCCTTCTCTAAATTACACATAACGCACCATAGTATATTATCTCATGACGATATTCTATACATGTATAATATCCTAAAACAAACTTATAAGCCACAGGAACTTTTATTCGACGAACATACTAACTATAGAGACTATTATGACTTAATAGAGAGTGGTTCATACTACTCCGACAACACATTGGTATTTTTACTGAAAATCCCTATTATGCATAGCAATTTTTACGACTATTATCACCTGTACCCGTCTCCTACCTATAATAATACCCTTATAATCCCCACCTTACCTTATCTGGCCATGAATGAAGAGAAATATTGGTACATGGACAAAGAATGCAACAAATTTCAAGATATTTATTATTGCAAGAGGATAAGCTTTACGAAGACACAAAGGAACGACGACTGTATTTACACACTGATCCTGAAACAAACAATAACAGACAAATGCACATATATACAATATAAAGCTATAACCGAAATTATTGACAAAATTGATGATTACCATTATCTCATTACGTGTCCACTAAAGACGAAAATAAGTTTAATTTGTGCCGAGGAAAGCTTCAAGTCGATACAAGGCACTTACCTGGTAGAGATTCCCAAAGGATGTAAACTCATTACCGAAACGAATAGCATTCAGAACGCCGAAAATAAACTTCGAGGTCACGCTGTGAAGCTGCTATCTTTTGAACTCTCTAATATTACTATTAAAAACGCAAATCAGCCGCTGAAGATCGAGGAAGTTCCTATGAGTAAACTCTACAAACTGAAAAATCTTATAGATAAAGAAACGCCTATAATTNGTGTGTGTGTGTGTGTGTGTGTGTGTGTGTGACAGAGGTATTATACTCGTTAAGTAAGAAGACATTCTGTGTCCAGGTAGTCAAGGCTTTTAAGCCAAGATTCAATTTCAAGTTTAGCATGGTGAGTTGTCAAAGTTTTAATTTTTAGTTTGCGGCAAATTTTGTTGTAAATAAACGGTAACAGAGAAATAGGATGACGTTTAGCAAATTTTGTGCGTACTGTTGGGACCGCGATCTTGAAGACTCGTAGTTTACAGAGCTTTTCGTATTCAGGTGACTTGAGGGTGATAGTGTGCATGCCAGTGGCAGCCCGTAGTATGAACAATTGACGGACTCTCAAAACTCCTGCTTCTGAATATAGCTGATTTTTATTGTACCTGAAAGGCTTTCTAAGCATCACTTTGAGTACAGCCCTTTGGGCTCTTTCAAGCTCGATCATTAAGTACTTAGCAGCTCCCCCCCAAACTCTTATACAGTACCTACATTAGTAGGGATTGGCAAAGGGTCTTATATACTAGCAGCAGAGTCCCCTTTGGCGCCGAGTATCTTAAGTTTTTCATGAATGAATGAATTTTAAAGTAAAACAATAACCGTTAACCCCTTCGCAGGTGTGTTCGAACCTAAACAAGTGCGTCTGCAACCGCGGCTGGACTGGGCCAGACTGTTCGCAACACGACGCGCTCCCGCCATCGCCCACGCCGTGGGTACCCGACAACGCCACCAAAGCCGCCTACAACATGACCAAGAAGGAAACACCGTATGGTGAGTCGATGCCAGTTCGGACGGTATGGGTTAAGAGATGAGCAAACGGTTGTGGTGTGAGAACATTGTGCGGTTGAACTGGTGGTGCAAGGATGAAAGAGAGATGAATTTGATAATGTGATAAATGAGTGAAAATTTTGTGAAAATAAAATGTAATTTGATGAATTGCAAAGATCTTTTCTCTTTTCTTGAACTTTATTAACACAACTTTATATTAATTGAACAATACAACAAGAAAAAGAGATCAAAACTATGAATATAAAACAGTTACCTACACTTACTTTTCTATAATTTATTTACCTACTTACTTTACAAAATGACAATCACAAAATGAAACGGAAAATCAATGCAATAACAACTGCTACTTACTTCTGTCTATTTAACTAATTTTTATGTTTTCAGGTTTCTTTTCTGTAATATTCCCCTTCTTAATGTGTTTGTAATAATTGATTGGCCATGAGAATCCGAGCACAGCTTTTCAAAATCCAAAAATGAATCTAAATTTCGTCGCGATCGTAGATTTTTTTGTTACAAAATTGTAACACTGTTGCGATTAGAAATACGGGTGGCTGTAGAGTGTACCAACTGGCTTTTAAAAATGTCGGTACCGTGGGTTGTTCGAAAGCATTGCTCGGATTAGGCCGGGCCCAGGCGCGGGCGGCGCCGGCGACTAACGCCACGGACCCTCTCTTGCAGGTGAGCACGAGGGGAATAAGATGAGCACCATGAACATGGTGATATTGTTGCTCGCGGTCGTTCTCTCCGTGTTCGTGGGTTTCGCCTGGATGGCGTACTGCTTCAGGTAACCCGGTAACTCGGTGTTGTCGCACTGTCTGTCGCCTGTCTGTGTCCGTGTCGTGTTCCCGGCGCCGGTCGCGCGGCGGCGTCCCTGACGTCACGAGACTCTCCCGAGACTCTCCCGAGGCTCTCCCGAGACCCTCCCGTGACCTCTCCGACGCCTCGGCCGCCCCCACTCATCCCCCTTCTCTTTGGGCGCAGAGAACTACCACGGCTCGAACACGGTGTTCCTCGTGGCGGTGCTCATGTCTGTGGTAGGGGGGGTATTCATAGTATTTGCCCTGAGCGCTCTCTGCTACAGGTCAGTCGTAGTACACAAAAACTTCTCCCTGTGCCTAAGGTTAGTGAGCAGAAAACAGACCAAAGGTAGTCTTTAAGAAGAAATTTAAATCGTCACCTTCGTATACTTGTATGTTTATTTTAGACGTTAGCGTTGGTGTTTCTGTTCGTTTTTATCGGCGATTGGTTTTTTGTTTTTTTGAAGATTTTTGTCGTTTACGTTGTGGTCGTAGAGCTAGAGTTGGCGGGTGGCGCGTCGGCGCTGTCGGCGCGCCACAACTGCATTTGATCTGTGGTTCTGTGTCCGCGCCGGCGGCCGGGCCGCGCCCGCGCCCCCCGCCCCGCCCGCGCCCTCTGCGCCCGCACCCGACCACGCGCCCGCCGTCCGGCCGCCGAGCTGCATGCCGACAAGGCTTTCTTCGTTGTACTCGAGCGACACCTCGACTCAAACCCTTAAGATTCTGGGCTCTTGGATGTATGCATTGGCTTATGTGAACTGTGACTCGTTTTCGTTTCCTTTCTTGGTCGGAGGCCGCGCCGCCGGGCGCCGCAGACGCGACCCGGCGGCGCGATCGCGTCTATATCTTCCGATATCACATGTAACTTACCGTGAACTGTTACCGTTAACATAAATCTAACAGTTGCGCCACTTACAGAGACACCCCGTGACACTACACCGGGTTTGTGCCTTGTCACTCGAGGTATGTACCGACGTGAAAGTAACACAAGTCAAATTGGAGAAGATATAGATCGCTCGACTCTACGTCACCAATCACTATCACTACCACTAAATTCTCTTAACTTTTGCACGAGAAGCGAATGTGCGATGCACGGATTCTTCTTTCAAGCAGCTGTCTATCTAGTTAGCAACGCCTAATGTTACTTATAAGGAAACAGGATCTTTCCAGTAATATCAGCTAACACTACTATTTTTTCAAATTGATCACAAAAATAAATTAACGATTCTGATTACAAAGATACTTGCCATACAGCTTGCTTCATTAATTACTGGAAGGAACCACATCATTAAGCTAAGATCAATTTTTTGATAAATTTCCACATTAACATCAAATTCCCATGAGGAATGAAACGAAAAGTTAAAGTTTGTCCAAATCTAAAATTGTTTCTATATTGAAATTGATTGAAATATCCAAAAGCACCAGTCTTTGCAATAAAAAATATGGGGGAACAAAAGACATTTCCAAATAAGCTTCAGTTAGGTAACTACTTATTATGTGAAAAACTCGTGTTCTTACTACCTCCACTTTCTTGAAGGCGGAGCTAGTAACACTCGCGTTTTTTCAAGTCGACAATCACCAACACTTTCCTACCACCAACTTTTGTCCCCCCACTAAACTCTAAAGCAAACAAGGTGTTCTCGATGCTTATAAATTCCTTGGGCCTCTTTGTAAACGTAATCAATTGATCCGAGTGTGCGTTCCCACGCCACGCCTGCATCAGGAAAAAGAGTACGCTGCCGAAGTACGACCCTCCCTACGTCAAGAAACCAATCGCCAAGAGCTTCGCTGCGGGCTCCACCACGTCCAACAACTCGCAAGAGGACATCTCTCTGGATGGAGGGAAGATGCACTCCTTCAACAACACATTTAGGTGCGTATATGACGTAGATTTTCTTCTGTTTTCCTTTGTTTTGAGTACCATGCAGTCGTATAAAAACAACTAACAAAATATAAACTAAAAACGAGTTAAATAGCTCTTGACCGTTAAAAATCTTTCACTTTGTAAAGGTGACTTGTTGTTTCACTGTTTTCGAGAGTTTTATCCTTTGTATTTAGTCGTAAATTTATTTACCCTCAAGTTATTTCTTTACTTCTTACATACTTTTTTACTGAGTATTATGGGAACTCTACGCAATAGTTTTCATAGATATTTTAAAAATCACTTTTGTTTCTTTTTCACGTTTCTTATGGATCACGACTGACTGCTGGTACAACTAAACTTACCTTTAAATAAAACGTTGTTTCCTTTTTTATCGGATCTGGTGTTGAACAGAAACCTGTTAAGGTACGTCGAACGCTTGGCGCTCTAGTGAGAGGCGCCTCACCGCTGTCGACTTTTGCTCACACAATTTTCGCTTTTTCGAAGAGCCAGTGTTCATCAAAACTGTGATATTGATAACAACCTATCGGATTTGGAGGATCGTCAAGACCGAACCTTTTTTGCTATTAACCAAGATCACAGCGTGGAACTTAATAAATTGTTTTTTTGCTAAACCTTTCCCGTTTTCGTGAATGCTAGCTCATAGACTCCAAGCTTCTATCGAAAGCTGAACCAGTACATTAGCTCTCATTCTTGGTGTACAGTGTGACCAAGCACATTCACACGCGACTCCATCGGGCCCACGCTTAGTTTTCTTTACTTAGTTACAATAGTCACGGGTTTACAGTGATAGCGTGATGCACATTTTTAAAGCAGACGTGTGAGTAGTTGCCCACCAACAGGAGGATCAGGTTTTCCGTAGCTTGTATAGTGCGCCTTTTCACGAATTTGATTTCAATTACTATGATACTGATGGATTGTTTTTGTTTGTGTAGCCGCGGGGACTCTCAGCGGGTTATATTCAGACATGGAAACCACATGTCTGGAGCAGGCAGTACTAGTAGATACCCGTAAGTATTATAAGTTTTTCTACACTGCATTACATTCATAGTTCAGAACAACAGAACTAAAATAACATCGTACTGCTTTTGTTTTCAGGGACCACAAACAAATGAAACGTGTTCATTCTGGCAGTGAAGATGAGCCTACTCATTCAGGTAAATCTTATAACATTCTCTTAGCTAAAATAATACAATTCTTCTTTGACAACATCAGCTTTACTTAAGACAAAAATCTGTGTTGGAAATCCTAAATAGAAACACGAATCACATACTTACTGACTCTACAACCAACAGCCTTTGCCTTCATCACCGTGCGTCACGATATTGCGAGATTATTTCTAACTTTCTTTATTGCCAGGCGAAGAAGACATAGCGTTCATAGATGTAGCGCCCAACTCGATGGCCAAGCTGCCGGAGAAGGGCATCCTGAAGAAGCACGGCTACGGCGCCGTGGACGGCAAGGACAAGTGGGGCGACGACTCGCAGTCCGAGCAGCTGGAGGCCGGCTCGCAGTCCGACGGCCAGGAGCCCGCGGGCGCCGTAGCTGATATGGAGTATAAGTTTAAGGTGAGGGATATGAGGAACGAAGGGCGGTTATAGAAAGGGTGTTCAGTGTTAGGGCCAGATGATGGCAGATAGAGTATTTCCAAAGCCACAATCTGACAAAATAGGTAAAAAATATCTGAGGTGTAAAACATTGGCATTGGCGTATTCATAATCAGAGCCGATAAAAAATATCTTCTATCACATGGACACACATGGAGCTCTTAAAAAGTCACCTTAAAAGCAGGTTTGTTGTGGTTCTTAGAGAACGTTTTGTTTATAATTAGTGAAATTATGACGTTTATGTCCATAAATCGAAGCATGTTTCGGTTGAATCTTGATACAAAAAATGTAAGTAATGTCATGAGTGATCGTACAAATGTATTTTCTCGACTCAAACAGTCAAGTTCTTAAGCTTAAAAAGTGTTAAGTTCTTCATGTACCTACTTTATCTCCTCATTAATCAAAAATTCCACAACCTTCCAGGATCTGAACGGCTACCACGAGAACATAATCGTGGCGCTGAAGACGGCGGCTGCGCAACGCGCGAGCGCGGGCGCGGCGAGTGGCTCGGGCGACCTGCGCGCGCTACAAGACTACGAGTACAAGCGCGAACGCGCGCCCAGCGCGGAGAAGATACACGAGGCTGAGCTGCGAAGGTACTGCTTCTTATTTCTTCTTCTTCTTCTCAAGCTGTCTGTTCTGGTTCGGGCGACCTGCGCGCGCTACAAGACTACGAGTACAAGCGCGAGCGCGCGCCCAGTGCCGTGAAGATACACGAGGCTGAGCTGCGGAGGTAATTCTTCTTTTCCTTGATCTTTTTTCTACTTCTTTGTCTTAGTCACACCAGTCTTGATACTTGCTGGTGGGGATGGGGCTTGTTCTCAAACTGACTACGAGTGATAGCACTAGGGCGCGCACAGCCCAGAAAAGATACACGAGGCTGAGCTGCGGAGGTAATTCTTCTTTTTCTTGATCTTCTTTCTACTCCTTCTTCATAGTCACAATAGTTTTGATTGAAACTTGCTCTTGGGAATGGAGCTTGTCCTCAAACTGACTACGAGTACAAGCGCGAGCGCGTGCCCAGCGCCGAAAAGATACACGAGGCTGAGCTGCGGAGGTACTCTGCTTCTTCTTCTTAGTCACATCAGACTTGAGATTTCTTGTATACACGAGGCTAAGCTGCGTTGTTGGTAGATTCTTCTTCTTCATCTTCTTTACACCGTCCTTGATACTTGCTGGCGGGGATGGGGCCTATCCTCAAACTAACTATGAGTACATGCGCGAGCGCGCGCCCAGCGCAGAGAAGATACACGAGGCTGAGCTGCGGAGGTACTTCTTCTTCTTTCTTCTTCTTCTTCTTCTCAAGCTGTCTGTTCTGGCTCGGGCAACCTGCTCGCGCTACAAGACTACGAGTACAAGCGCGAGCGAGCGCCCAGCGCAGAGAAGATACACGAAGCTGAGCTGCGGAGGTAATTCTTCTTTTTCTTGATCTTTTTTCTACTTCTTTGTCTTAGTCACACCAGTCTTGATACTTGCTGATGGAGAGGATGGGGCTTGTCTTCAAACTGACTACGTGTACAAGCGCGAAAGATACACGAGGCTGAGCTGCGGAGGTACTTCTTCTTTTTCTTGATCTTTTTTCTACTTCTTTGTCTTAGTCACACCAGTCTTGATACTTGCTGGTGGGGATGGGGCTTGTTCTCAAACTGACTACGAGTGATAGCACTAGGGCGCGCACAGCCCAGAAAAGATACACGAGGCTGATCTGCGTAGGTACTGCTTCTTATTTCTTCTTCTTCTTCTCAAGCTATCTATTCTGGTTCGGGCGACCTGCGCGCGCTACAAGACTACGAGTACAAGCGCGAACGCGCGCCCAGCGCGGAGAAAATTCACGAGGCTGAGCTGCGGAGGTAATTCTTCTTTTCCTTGATCTTCTTTCTACTCCTTCTTCGTAGTAACAATAGTATTGAAACCTGCTTGCCGGAATGGGACTTGAGCTCAAGCTGACTACGAGTACAAGCACGAACGGACGACCAGTGCCGTGAAGATACACGAGGCTGAGCTGCGGAGGTAATTCTTCTTTTCCTTGTTCTTTTTTCTACTTCCGTGTCTTAGTCACACCAGTCTTGATACTTGCTGGAGGGGATGGGGCTTGTTCTCAAACTGACTACGAGTGAAAGCACTAGGGCGCGCACAGCCCAGAAAAGATACACGAGGCTGAGCTGCAGAGGTACTGCTTCTCTTTCTTTCTTCTTTGTTTCTTCTTCTTCACGCTAAGCTTGCAGGAATAGGACTTGTCTCCTCAAGCTGAATACGAGTACGTACGCGAGCGAGCGCCGAGCGCCTTCGCTTCTTATTCTTCACACCAAGCTTCCAGGGACTAAGTTTGTGAACATTGCTTTTAAGGACAGTCTTTAGGACGTAGAACTCCTCACTTTATCTTCTGATTAAGAATCTCTTTTCTCTCTTTTCAAGGCTGAGGCAATCTTGAAAGAAAATCATCAAAACTAAACTCCTATCACCAAATACGCCTATACATCCAAAACTGTATGCCTTCCAGACAACGCGGCGACGAGGAGGAAGACGAGGCGCCTCAATGCGGGCCGATCCGGATCCGCAACCTGGAGGACCTGATCCGGCAGCTGGAGCACCACTCCAGCCGGCACATGAGCCCGTCCGGCTCCGAAGACATTCGCATGTCCGAGACCGAGGCCGACCGCCACTACCGGATCGAGCCCGGGGAAGTCCCACCGTGAGTACTGCTTTTGTACCTCTATTGTATACGATCTCTTTTAATCGTCAAAAATTCGACAGTGATTCTCTTTTGGAAACGATCCCCCTTGTTCGTGGAAATTCGGATCCGCAACCTGGAGGATCTGATTTGGCAACTGGAGTACCACTCCAGTCACTGACTGACCGTTTCTTTATTAGAATTAAGGCACTTTTTAGAGAACTTGCTTACGTGCCAAAAGTTGCTTGCGTTTCCGTTATTCGAAACAATTTAAGTTATTGATGATGCGAAGAAATGGAGGAAGGCCAACCCCCTTTGGTAGTCTTTTACTAACAGATCACCTTTTTAACAGAATCGAAGTACTAACCTATCCTCTTTCTCTGGCTACGTGCGTACGGGTGACATTTTGTCACCGTCACAGTATATCTTTCTCTTTTACACTTTTATCAAGAGAAAAAGAGAGGCAACGTTGTACTTATTCTTATCTATGGAGAGACATAGGTACTATCACGGTGACAAAAGTCACCCATGCGCGCACGCCCTATCAGATCACCTTTCTATAAGAACCCACTAACCGACCATAATCTACTTATTTAACAACAAACTACTAACCGCTCCTTTTCTTACAGTCGTGTCTCGCCTTCCAGCCGCTGCCGCGGTCGCATGCCGGGCGAGGAAGAATCGCGGTTCGGCTACCCGCGCTTCCGCGGCAGCGGCCGCCACCACCCGCCGCTGTTCCCCGCGCCCCCCGCCGCCGCGCCGCACGCGTCCCACGCGCCGCACGCGCTCGCGCACTCACCGCATTCGCATTCGCACGCGCACGCTCGCGTGGACGACGACGCGCTGTATGAAACGGCTGATGCGGAACGGCTGCGCGACGCGCCTGATAGCGAGAGGTGAGTGCGATGAAATGTTTAATTAACCGCTTGAGTCCCAGACGGCATTCATTAATGTCATAACAATTGGTTATCTATTGTGTCTAGATTCGCGGGCCTTGAAGGATTAATATACCTAGTCTAGACCAGTACCTCTAAAGTACGGCCAACGAGAAGCAATGCCAAATGTAAACAAACCCAAAGTCGTGGGTGAACCCGTCTGAATTTGACATACTATTTTGAGAGACATTATGACAAATACACAAGATGGGAAGAGACAGAATAATTATATTGTTAACTCGACAGTTCGTAGGTATCGACCTTTTGTATCGCTGCTAGTTGGCCGTACCTACTTTAGCATGAACAACTTTCGTCTTCGAATCGTTTGCGTATTCGACAAAACTCGATAGTCAACCTTCGAATTAAACGATAACGTGACAATGTTGATTCTCAAAATAAGTTTCGTGCAACCATTTCTCATAGTAAGTTCACTTTACGACACGTTCACAAGAGCGCAGTTGTAGTTTTCGTACTAAATCTTTTGATGGCGATTCGAATACGCAAACGATTCGAACTCGAAAGTTTTTCGTAATAGCCGTAGCAGGGCTTTCCCAAACTTGTTTTGTCCACTACCCACATTGAGAATAAATTATTTTTAAGCGCCCCCATATTTTTTCAACTACTTAAAAACCACTACAATAGATGAAATTGCAAATTTCCCCCCAAGCCTCTACACAATGCCCTGATTTTTCTGTCTCCCCTTTAGTCTCGCAGCGAAATGAGTATCACATACTCACAATAATCCACCCATTTATAGTCCATTTTAAATGTTTTGTGGTAAAAATGACTTCAATTTACTCGTAATAAATATAAATTTTGGCAGACGGTGGGCTCCGCTTTAAATGACATTCAAAGACGATTTTTTGAAACTGAAATTCTGTAAATCCTTCGATGCTTTTTTATGCATTATAATTTGTCTTTGAAAGTCGTAAGCGCAAAGAGAGCACTGACCCTTGTGCGTCTTTTACCCGAAACACGAATAATTGAAATCGTTGCTTTTCAATCTTAGCCAAAAATATCTAATTAGTGACTGAAAAGTAATAGAAAGAAAATTGTATGATGGCGCCAAAACTGGTGAGCTCCAATACGGTAGCCCTAGATAAAATAATGCATGCTAAGGCTGAGTTGCACCACCACACTTTAACGGTAACTATGACGATAACCGGTGCTTTTTGTATGGAGTTTGACAGATTTTTGACGTTTGTCAAAATTAAAGTAAGATGGTGCAACCCAGCCTTAATTTGATAGAAATTAAATTAAATTCTGAAACAAATTTCGACTCGTACTGCAGTCGATTCAGGATGTAATTATCCGTGTTTCGGGTAGGAGCCCACCGGCCGCCAGCCCCCGACTCTCCGTTCCTCTTCTCTATCATTTTCTAGTGATGAATTTATTCAAGCTCAACAACAGTTAGCCCGGTGGGCGAGTGAAGACGCGGTGGGCGCCGGGGGCGAGGGCGGGGGCGGGGGCGGGGGCGGCGGGGGGGGCGGGCGCCGCTACCTGCCGTCGCCCGGCGGCTCCACCAGCAGCGACGCCACGCTGCGCGCCGCACACGCGCCCGCGCTACCCGAGTACAAACACTGACCCCACCCCGCGCTGACCGCCCCCCCGCGGCGACTCGCCCGAGTAGATTCCACGTAACCTCCGTTTGCACTGTTAGGGTAATCACGTTAACGACTAGCATAACCGTTAGCGAACACCGTTCACGCGTAGCGAAACGAGCGGACCGCCCCGCTCATAGTTATCGTTAGACGATCCGTGACTTGTAAATATATGAGTATTAAATGCACAGTATATAAACGATACGACTGAACTATTGTATTTGAACGACTTAGCGTACCGTCGATGTGAGCCGAGACGCGGTCGCCCGCCGCCCCGCCGGGGCCGTCGACGATTATGTTTGTTCCATTTTATCGATACGCTTTATAACTCTATCTGTTCCCGCGACCCAGCGGTGGTGCGGCGGATTGTATGTCTAAAGTAACTTTAAGTAAGACTTATCGTTTTATGGACGTAGCGTTAAGGTGTTGTACGGTGCCGAGGTCCTGTCAGACGTCGAGTCCGCTTCCTTCGACTCCGACGGACGAAGCTCGAGTAGCTTGCAAATTAGATAGGCGATTAACAAATTGAGCTGTAATAATCGTAAGCGAAGCTTTAATGTGACATGTCTTAGTTTGTGGATGTCGCTGCGACGCCGGCGGCGGAACTCGACGTCGATGATCCGTGAATGTTTTGTAGTGACGTTTAATTTTTCGCCGACGGTCGATCCGATTCGAGCCCAGTTACCGGTCGCCCGCTGCCCCGCCCCGGCGCGCCCTGGGCGACCTCGCAACCGTCCCCGGAGAGACTGCTTCATTCTGTCACCTCTCCGATTAGCGCCCAGACTCACCCTCCACGCCGCGTCGGGGCACTCACGGCATTCTGCGGACACTCTCCTCTCACCCGTCACTTGCTTTCGTGTATTGATAAGTTGCTGAACGATCATTCTAAATGATTTCTTGTAACTACAACTCCAGCGATCTCGTATCACCGTGCACGAATAATTTCATATAACTTAGCCGTAACGTACACATATTCTAAAACTTTAATGTGAATAAAAGTTATTTCGATTTTATCAGAATATCTATTATTATTGTATTGACTTTAAACGAATTTACGCCATAAACTGAATGGACATGAATGTTATGATGTAATATGTTATAGTTTTCTCGTTTATTTTATTGTGACAATTTAGGACGTTATCGTTTCATTCGCGTTTACGCTAGGCTAGGTGGCGCGGCCACGGATATAACTCATAGGTAAATTACAGTTAAAATATTGAATAAATAAAATAATTAAACGTATCGGCTGCTATCACTCTGGTACGATGTTCACTGGCGCTGTGAGGCCGTGCGCCCTGTTTGCGAGTAATTATTCTCATAGTTATACGTTATACTTAAGTAAGTCTAAATAGATACTATAAACACGTACAGGGTAGATGTAAATGCAATACTCTGTAGCTGGGGGCGGCACTCGCCGCGCCGGCGGGCCGCGTCACTGCCAAACTGTCCCGGGACCCCGGGACCCGGGGCCCGGGACCCCGGGGCACCGCGGCCCGCCTGCGCGTGACCTGCCGTCTGTCCCGGCGCGCCGCCATCTCCAGCGACCCGACCCATAGCGTATGTTAGTGAATTTATGTAATTAAAACAAATTCGATTCGTGATTTTGTTGAATATGTCTAGTTAGATACAATACTCGATCGCTATAAGAATCGGGCGAGACATCGGTCTGCGGATGGCTTAGATAGGTTTCGAAAATTGCTAGACCATTGTATTCTAACAATAAAGACAGGTCTTGTTGATAATCGTAGATGTCATTCTGTGACCGATGTTTGGCTTTTGTAGCCAGCAGCGGGCGGTCGGTCGGTGTGACGTCACAGTGACGTCGCCCGCTGCTGGTCGCGATGGCGGCGCGCGGAGTGCCGCGCCCCAGCGGGCGTCGCGTGCACGCGTTTGAAACTCAGAGTGCGTGCGCGCTAGTGCAGGAAACCCGACTTTCGTTACTGGAAACTAAACTTCTAAACTCAAGTTTGAACGTCAGCCATATCAACAGCTACTCAATTTGTACGCGTGGGCTGGAGTAGCCCTATTGCTAGACTTCAAAAGCACCAAACAATACCCACATGGTGCTGTAAACCTGGGCTAATATAAAGTATTTGTAAAAAGTTATGTAACGTCGATTATAAATATTTAATGCTATCTCAATGTAAGTACATACTGTATGACAAAAATATTTGTAATAATTTGCAGTAGCAAAATAAAATATAATTAATGGAATCCTGTTGTATGATGAGGGAATAATATGGACGGCACAGCTTAAGAAACACAGATTACCCCCATAGCAAAAAAAATCATTTTTATGGGTGTGATTCTTTTAATTGTATGTGATTTCTTAATTTACAAATTAAACTATGCTTTACTCCCCTTAAAAAAGCTAGTACTATCCGCTGGCCAGAATTTTAAAGAGGACTTCATAAAGATCTATTGATCTGCTCACAGGGGAAGATATAATAAGTGCTGCCTAACATTGGGAGAAGTTCGATGGTGTTTTATTTGAATTTTAAGGTTAGATAAAATGCGGGTAAGCTGCGAGGACGCGCGCGCACTTGTACGCGTAGGCCTAACACGTCAATTGCGGTCGCCAACCTTTGCTCACGGTAGCTCGCGCGTGCGAATGCCCGCCGCAACGTGACCAACTATTACACCGCAGCCCGGACAGACTCCGACGAAATATCGTGATACACCACGGTTTTTAATCGTATCGATTTGTATGTCCGACATCATTGGGTCTACTGGGCAACCTACTGGGCTGCACTTCCATTGTGAACACCAATGTTATTCATAGACTCACTCCGGTCTTAGATGTAGTAATGATTTTTCTTGTTAACACGTCTTGCTATGTACATACATGTTTTCCCTAAATTATTATTTAACATATTGTTAAATACCTCTGATTTGTGTAGTAGTTACATAGTAATTTGATGATAATGCGTCTTGCAAAATGTGAATGTTTTAACTTGTATAGTAAATGTAACACTGCCATTGATTAATACTGACGTAGAGCCCAATGCGGTTGGTGTAATAAGTGGGCACAGCCGCGCGGCGAGACCAGTCTGTGCTTCTGTGTATATTTAGAAAATTTAGTACACTGTATATTCAGTGATAGCTAATGAAGCTCAAATATTATTAGATTGTTTAAAGTGTGTTATTATTGTAAAATATAAACTTATGCTAGCTGTTTTCCGTAACTGTACCCAAGTGGTTTGGCTAACGATTAGCCTGGATTACCTATCATCATCGAAACCATGAAAATACGTAACTAGCTGCTTTTTATTCCAATATTAGTTCCATATTGATTGGACTTATTTTATCTGATTTTCAGAAGGTGGGTCATGTTTTTAAGAGACCAGCAAAAAAGTGTGTGAAAATTTCGGTGTGAGCGAGTTTTCTTGAGAGACTCCACTAAAAAATTATGTTATATTTACCTGATTGTCAAGGTTTACAATAATATAACGCACAATTTGATTTACAATTGCTTAATGTATTAAATTGGCAGTCATAGAGAAACGCACAGATCGGTCTCCCGCGCACCGGACGCTCCAACCAACACATTCCCTGTAGCTAGCGGTGTCTATATGAAAATAAATGTTGATCATGGAATTATGTAGTAATAAACTTGTTTTATACTAGCCTGTAGCTGTAAGGATGAATGTGAGGATGCCAAGGCGATGTGTTGGCTCACGGCGGGTGTTCGCACTCCACCACTCTACCGACCTACTGAATTAGAAATGTTAAAGTTAGGTGATATTATGTAATATAAAAATACGAATTTTAAACGAAAAAAACGTTGAGACGTTTTAATTTCCAGTTTATTTTGTCCTTGTAAATATATTTGCTATATGATTTACTAAATGAATGTAACATATTATTAATGAAAAAATAGATGAACACAAATTTTATGGGTTGTTTCATTGCTATACCCTTTTCAGTTTGGTATGTTTTTTTGCAAAATGGAAATTAAGGTATTTACTATTAGACAATACCATACATATGGTGTGTTTGATATTCATGGCCACGATAATCTCATACAAATGTCGCACCGCATGCCCATGACTCACGGACTGTTGTACCTAAATACACCGTACTACCAGTACTACGGTGACCGTAGTCACAATAAGTTCTATTTAGGGGTTGATTTTTGTAAACCAAGAAACATAACTAAAGTCTTAGGCGAGGTTTAGACTAGCAATAAAACGGTGACAGCCGTAACGGTAAGAAGTCAAGTTCTGCAAGTTTTATTGCTAGTCTAAACCTCGCTTTAGATACACAGGAGAGACAATACATTTCGCTGATGTCGTGCAACAGCTACGAGGAAGATTCAAGAAATAATGTCGCTTGGGCGCAGAGCAAGAGCTTGCGACGTGTACGTTGAAAAAAGCTGCGCAGCCTAACCTGGGATAGAGGTTTGTATAAGCATTTTGGAACAATTGAAACATTTGTTCATTTATACATTTATTTGTATAGAGAAAATACATAATAGCTAGTAAATATTATATTAATCACATAATTAATCTCAAATAACAATCGTATTTAAATGACTATGAAAAGTAACTAAACTGTTTTTATTTAATTCATCATCACAAAATAATAAACCTCGCAATCTACGAGACTTAGCATTCTGTCCGATTTCAAATAAGCAGTATTTTATAAAGAAAAACATGTACTTTTAATCGTAACTTTAACTCAAACAGGAATATCGATGCTCTCACTTCTCCTCCTCATCAAAAACTTTGCATAATCGTCCTTTTGAGGATCGAACGAAGTGATTTTCTCGCACTGTGCGGCCTTCGCCGCCTGGTCTATTTGTTCAGCGAACGCCTTGACGTCGTCTCTCTTCAGCTCCACCATGTACTTGCGCGACTCCATGACGACAAACGCGTCGTCCCGCGCCATCGACCAAACGCTCGGCTTTACGCGCGTCAGCATGTTCTGCCCCACAAACACACCATGGAACAACCCCTGGAACTGCGGCTTGTGCGGATAATGATCCAGCGCAGACAAGGAAAGAAAATGCACCTTCCCGTAATCTACATCGATATACGTATTCCGATCCTCGCGCAACAGCAGCGGCACTTCAGGTCCAGCCTCCGAAATCCGCGCGTCCAGCTGACTCAGCACAACCATCCCTAAATTCTTCTCCTTTTCCAAATTAAATGCGTTTGCGTCGAAAGCCTGACGGTTTTCCACCTCGTACAGCATCCGCATAACGTTGCGCTCCGACACGTCTGTCGACCGTTTGTTGTTCACTCCGTGAGATGATATCAGCATGTCCTTGTCGTCGCAATCTAGCCCGAATGCTATATACGGGGAAGTCACCATATCCCCAAGATACCCTCGGTGAAGGTATCTATCCCCGCACTTGCACACTCCCGCTGCAAACGTCACATTTGGTCTGCACACCTCTGTCTCCAGCCAAGTGAAAGCAACTCCGTGCTCCCTAAAATGTTTATATTCTTGAAAGCATATCTGACTAGCGATCTCTTTGAGGCGCATGTGGTAGTCCCAGTCGAACACTCCCGCTCGGTTGTCGTACCTCACGCCGAGGCTGTGCCTGATCCGATGCTCCCAAAGCTCACAAGCGTTGAACTGATTTGTGTTCCCAGTGGTCCAGAAGTTAACCAGGCTCTCAAGGTAGTCGCGTTCGCGGTACTTCATTTGATCGATCGAGACGGTTGGTAGCAGACAGCTCATGAACTCGGGATTCGTGATCATGCCGACGAGTTGGCGTGCTTTAGCGATTAAATACCTTGAGGTAGATGGCCGCAGGAGCAGATTGCCGTAGATTTCGAGCCACCGTCTCGTCTTTTCTAGCAAGCCGCATCTCGTAGTTTTTTCCAAAGCCAAGGACATGAGCAGGATCTGCCTGGCGATGAGTTCTGGACAGCCGTCGACGACAAAGATGTTCATGTACCGCCTGGTGTGCCGATAGGCTTGGGATAAGGTTTTAAGGAGGTGTCGCCCGTCGCACCCACCGATGACCAGGAAGTTGAGCTCGTAGGCGTTTTCGTCTCCATGTTTGAGATACTCCTGCTGCAAGTCCAGCGCTGGACTTATACCCCAGAACATTTTTGTTGTTTGTTTATGAAGTCGTGTTTACCCGTCGACCGTCAGGGGAGAAATATTGAGATTGTCAATGTCAGGGCGATGTAAACGAGTATTGTCAAATGAAGCGTGGAGTTTTCATGCGGCCTTTAGGGAGTTGCCATGGCGACGATCTATTTGTGCGGAGTTTCCAACCTGTGCGAGATATAAATAATCAGAACACCCGCACGAGTAGTTTATATGCACAGTGCAACGTTGATTAATTAATTATCAAAGCCTCTCGAGATTTCCATTTCAGAGCGCGATAATCCTTATTATAGAATAGATAAGGGTAGTTAGGTTAGGTTAGGTTAACCTTGTCTGCCCAACCCGTGGAAAGTTAATTTAAGATAAATCAATAATGTTTATAGCCTGACCAGGAACATAAAAACCCTCGCCATGTTGCGGAAAACTAATGGTACTAATTTCTTTTAATGGCAACAGTAACTGAAAACTTCATTGACATGTCACCTTGCATGTCAGTCTATTGTTGTCAAAGTGTAAACAAACTTTATTTTAAATGTTTGCAATTGATTTTGTGAATTAAATTGCTAAAATATTTTTATAGTCGTGAAAGAAAAGTGGTTCACTATGTGTTAAAGTATTTGTCGAAGAGAAATACTTAGGGTTCGGACAATATTTTCATTGAATAATGTTTCCGACAAAGGTTGTCAAATTGACTGACATGTTTATCGTATAGTACAGTCCACTATGAAAATTAGCTGTAGTCTGTTTCAACTACCTATTTTAAAGTTTTTTGTCACTTTCTAAGTTTTGAATTTTATGGAATTGGGAAAGAAGTACCGAGTTTGAAGCGTTCATGAGCAGACATTGCAGTTGAATATTCAAGTTCTGAATTTGATTATTGATGAATAATAAAATAAATCCTACTAGCTCGATTGATGGTTTCATTTAATTTATTTAAACCAGGTTACCTTTAATAATATTTTTCGTTAATTTATGAAAATATCAAATTAGCCCGTAATCCTGAATCCTGATACATAAATTTAGCCTATTAATTTAACACATGTACAACTGTACTCAGTGTTGCACTATCAAATGCAATTGAAGCGCCTCTATGCCAGGGTTTTTATGTTCCTGGTCAGGCTATACTTAGATTTAGACCAGCTAAGCCTTATTTGTTAATATTTTTATTAAATATCCTAGGATAGATATACTACAGTAAGTGCAATGGACGTCATTTGGCTGAAACGAACGAACGAACGAAGTGCAATAAACTTCGCTAAGTTTCAGGGTTTAGTTAAACTTAACTGGAATAAAATCAGGTCGTGGTCAAATCGTTAGAACCTTTCTCGGGTTCAGACTGGATGAACCCAGGACTTCAGAGTCCTGGGTTCATCCATATTCCGAAATCAATGGTCATAATTAGTACTTACCTATTATAGCCTGACCAGGAACATAAAAACCCTGGCATAGAGGCGCTTCAATTGCATTTGATAGTGCAACACTGAGTACAGTTGTACATGTGTTAAATTAATAGGCTAAATTTATGTATCAGGATTCAGGATTACGGGCTAATTTGATATTTTCATAAATTAACGAAAAATATTACTAAAGGTAACCTGGTTTAAATAAATTAAATGAAACCATCAATCGAGCTAGTAGGATTTATTTTATTATTCATCAATAATCAAATTCAGAACTTGAATATTCAACTGCAATGTCTGCTCATGAACGCTTCAAACTCGGTACTTCTTTCCCAATTCCATAAAATTCAAAACTTAGAAAGTGACAAAAAACCAATGTCTGCTCATGAACGCTTCAAACTCGGTACTTCTTTCCCAATTCCATAAAATTCAAAACTTAGAAAGTGACAAAAAACTTTAAAATAGGTAGTTGAAACAGACTACAGCTAATTTTCATAGTGGACTGTACTATACGATAAACATGTCAGTCAATTTGACAACCTTTGTCGGAAACATTATTCAATGAAAATATTGTCCGAACCCTAAGTATTTCTCTTCGACAAATACTTTAACACATAGTGAACCACTTTTCTTTCACGACTATAAAAATATTTTAGCAATTTAATTCACAAAATCAATTGCAAACATTTAAAATAAAGTTTGTTTACACTTTGACAACAATAGACTGACATGCAAGGTGACATGTCAATGAAGTTTTCAGTTACTGTTGCCATTAAAAGAAATTAGTACCATTAGTTTTCCGCAACATGGCGAGGGTTTTTATGTTCCTGGTCAGGCTATAATATTCTATAACGTGTAACTGGTTAAAAAATATCAAAATTACTAAAAAGATGGATTACATATCTGACAACGTCATAAAATCTATTGAACTCAGTCAATGGTAATCAATTATTATTAGTGCGTGAAATTGTGAATCGCATGTAGGTACGCTCGTAATATTAATTCAAATATTCATTCCAGTATTCGAATATAATTTTTAAGAAAAGTCGATTAAATGCGGGTAGGTGAAGATTTGCCGCCGTTCGCGAACAAACCACCATACGCCCCGTCACGCGTCAGTTCACTCGCGGCCATGATTGTTTGACAATCGACTCGATGTCTCGGGATAAAAATATTTCATTATTTAGTTTTAGTTTTTCACAATTTTCTTTACAAAATCGCGTTGTTTATTAATCGTGTCTAGTGAAAAATTGAAATATCGTCATCGTTTGTAGTTTTAGTAATGAAAAAATAGTGACCTACTTTATTTGTAATTTCTACCTAGTTTGCTCGTAGTTACCTACCTACCTATTTTGTGTTTTTTATCAGTGCAAGATTCTGAAAAATAAACCTTGGGAAAATTGACACGGTAAGTTGTTAGATTTAGATACTTAGATGTTGAATATAACCCCCTTACCCTTACTACCTAATAAAAGTTATTCACTCGTTGAACACTTGTTTAAAGTGACGTATAGTATGGAAATGTCACTTTAAACTACTGTTCAACAAAGGATGATGGGCACAAATGTATGGAAAGTGGTACCCGCTCCAATAGCCATAACCAATATATATTTTAAAAGGCCTTTAGATTTAGGAAAATATCTGCTATGGGGCCAGTTCTAATTCACGTTTTGAAAGCAGTAATTCCACTAAGTATTATAATGAAAGTATAACACAATCATCCATGTATACGAGTATGTATTATGACTACAATCTATTCATATAACTAAAAGAAGCATTGAAAAGGAAAGGATTATACCTACGATGAACTACCCAAGCTATTAGCCCTTTATTCGCTTTCATCATCATCATNTAGGAAAATGTCTGCTATGGGGCCAGTTCTAATTCACGTTTTGAAAGCAGTAATTCCACTAAGTATTATAATGAAAGTATAACACAATCATCCATGTATACGAGTATGTATTATGACTACAATCTATTCATATAACTAAAAGAAGCATTGAAAAGGAAAGGATTATACCTACGATGAACTACCCAAGCTATTAGCCCTTTATTCGCTTTCATCATCATCATCATGATCATTTTAGCCATAGGACGTCCAGTTGAACATAGGCCTCCCCCAATGAATTCCACAGTGGCCGGTTGGTGGCGGGCGGCAGCCTGCATCCAGCGCCTTCCCGCTACCTTTATGAGGTCGTCGGTCCATCTTGTGGGTGGACTTATTGGGTCTTGTGGGTTTATTCGCTTTAGCAACTCATAATAAAACCATTAAGAAGTTATAAAACTTTAACTCATTTAATAATAAAAGTTACGCCCTAGTTAGCTCTGGCTTAAATTGTTATTTGGTATGGAAATGTCATTTTAATCCAAGGTTCTCCCTAGGTGTAACTTTTTATTAATAAGGGGGTAGTACTTCTTTAAATAAACATATTTATTTCACAATTATCCCCATCAATAATTATAGAGTTAAGGAAGGATGTTGGAGCAGTAAACGCTTCCTGCCTCGCATAACCTAAGTACCATACGATGGACACGTATGATACTTCTTCTTCTTCTTCCTCAGTCCCTCACTGATGAAGATCGCGACCACAGATAGTGTTCCTCCACAGACTGCGGTCATAAGCTGTGTGAACCGCACGATGCAAACTCCCGCCCACCGTCTTCCTCACCGCGTCCGACCATCTCGTCGATGCTCTGCCCCGAGCGCGTCCCCCTTCATACTGTATGATACTTAGGTTACACAAAAAGTATCTTTATCTTCGAACGCAACCAGATCTGAGGCTGGTGGCCATAATAAATGTTGTTCGTCTTGGTAAGACCTTTCAAATGACACTACAAACATAACTATTGGAGCCGGGTACCATTCTGCAAAAAAGTATGTATATCTTCGTACACAACCAGATCTGAGGATGGTGGTCATAGTAAAAGTTGTTCATCTTGGTAACACCTTTCAAACGATACTAGACACATATCTATTGGAGCCGGGTACCATTTTGCCCATTGTCCTTTGTACTTTTTATTAGTAAGAGAGCAAGAGTTGAACCACGAGAGTGCTTAAATGTTTTGTAGTTTTAAAAATTTTAAATATTCAATAGTAGACATTCAGGATATTACTAATTGTTCTTCCCAAATCATAATGATTTATGGTGACCTAAAATATTTAATGCCGGCAGTACACTCTCACCGAGAGACCACGAGACAGGCCGAGTGTGAGAGTGCACAGGGAACTCCCTCACTACCTCTATGGTCTCCTGTACGGCTAGCACGAAAAACTTTCGAGTTCGAATCGTTTGCGTAAGGCTGAGTATCGAATTTTGTCGAAATCGCAAACGATTCGAAGACGAAAGTTGTTCATGCTAGAGGTACTGTTCGCACATAGGTTTGTCTTGCGAGACATTCGATCCCTCGGACGATACTAAACGAGAGTGTACTGCCGGCATATCTAATAATTAGGGTAACCGAACCGGTAAAATATAATAACCGGGTTACGGATATTTTTTTATTACGGATATCCGAAAGTTTCGGAGTGAACATGCTGTTCTCGAGTGGCGACCACGGGCTGGAAGACGTAGCGTGGGCAGGCCTCCTACTAGGTGGGCCGACGATCTGGTGAAGGTCGCGGGAAGAGCCTGGATGCGGGCAGCGCAGGACCGTTCATTGTGGAAAACCTTGGAGGAGGCCTTTGTCCAGCAGTGGACGTCATACGGCTGAAACGAACGAACGAACATGCTGGCCACCACCTGATCGGATGATGATGATGATGAAGCCTTATTCTGGTTAACTAACATTGCCACCGAATTGTCTAGTCCCCTGGTGACGACTTGGTTGACCTTGTTATCGTGGCCAGTGAGTAAAACAAAATCCTTTATCTTCAGGTTGTCTCCCAAAATGCTCCTGAAGAAGTGCCCAGCGATGTCACTTGAACAAGTAATGTTTCCTGCTTTATGTAAGTTCCTAATTCCTTTATGACTTAACTACTTATTTACCTGTTTCTGTATTGTGTGTTCAATTTCAATTTAGGTGGTGCTTTAACAAAGTGACATTTAGGACAAGTTGACATGTACGAGTAGGTTAGGTATTTATTTTCATTGTGAATTTTATTGAACAATTTAGGAAGACATACACAGTTGATACAACATTATAAGTAGGTATATAAAATATCAAAGAGCATATTGATTAAGATATTTATTTATTTAATTTCAAAGTTAAAGTTAATAAAGTACTCTTTTGTCTAAGTTAAGTACATATATTCGACCTTGATTTAAATAAAAAAATAAATTAATCTTAGTAGGATATTTAAAAAGAAAACACGAAATAAACAAAAACTTACATCTTATTTGTTACATCACTTATTATGCACTAAAGTCCTACTTTTAGTATTGAGAATTATTATTATAAATCGTGTTTTTGGAACACACATTCATAGCCTACTCTCCGAGAGTAGTGAACCAGATGCCTGATCTGGGGTAGAGGAAGAAGTACTACGGGCGATTAGGAATCTAGGCCTACACGCATCTTTATTCGATCTATCGGTAGAAGCGGTAAATACTGATCTTCTTGACGGCTTTCTAAACAGACCCACCCAGAGACCTCTCGTATTTTTATTTCCCACTATAAAAAACAAAAATAAAACGAACCCCTGAAAGGAGACAGTTATTGTAAACAGATATGCCGCTACTATGTTGTAAGCGAAAAATCCAAAGACCCACGGAATACCGCAAAGGAATGCCAGCAAACAACTGACAGAGGCACATCTAAGCGTTTCCTTCGAGGAGGAATGTCTCCTGATATTCTTCTTCGTTTCAAACATAGACCGCAGTATTATCGCGTACAAAATCCAATTTACGAACCACATCGCCGCCATCGGTGTGAACACGGCTGCCCAAAAGGCTATCCCTTTCGGATAACAAAACTTCCCATTCGGAGTCATCTCTTCAAATCTTGCTGAATAAGCGTTTGGATCTACTGAAAAGAGGATCCCTATCACCAAAAGCGGAAAACCCCACGCAAATAATGCCGTCAATAATAATTTGCAAGGGAGATCTGTGTTGAAAACTAAGACTAACTTTCTGTACGACAATATAGAGACGACCAGCATCCAACAAAAGGTTGCCAGCACCGAGTAATGTAGCGAGGCGCCGACGACCACGCAACCTACAATGTGGTCGTCAAAATCAACGAAGACCGCTAGAAGAAAACATACGTCTAAAATGAAAACGGCCGAGCACAGGTGTAACCAGATCTTGTTGCTTTCGTTTTCTCGCCATGACTTGAAAAACGCAGCGGTGAGCGCAATTATAAATATCCCGAATATCGAAAAGCTGCAGCCGATTATTGAGATGATCTCCAGTAGGTTTTCGTCTAACTCTTCGAACACGTTTTTGTTGATTAAAATCTCAGCGAAGTGTGTAAGGTGGTCGCATTGACATAGATCCAGAGCGTCTTCTTGGCGGGCTTTTGTGAGTGTACACCCCTCCTGAGACCAAAAGCCGGTGCCGTTTTCATTGAAATGCCAGTAAGCACAAGCTCGAGTCTGGTTACGGCGATGTTTCCTTTTCCAAGGATTCAAATATATTTCTATGACCTGAAAAGATTTATGAAAATATTACTACTTAATAAATCTGAAGTAGGCAGTACTTTGACTTCAAATAATACGAGTAGTAGCTTAAACTTAAACTTCTAATGCAATGTTGTTACAAACCTCGTCATTCTCGAACTCGGTGAAGTTATTAACATTGACGCTGAGAACCTTGCTGTTCAGCTGGCAGCTGTGGTCGTTGGTAAATGATCTGTTGGTCCGAAATGCCACCAAGCTGATTCGCCGTTCGACAGCCGTCGCGGAGTGAGGCAAGAGGACTATGGCTTCGTTCTTGTCAGATACTTTATCCAGAAAGTCTTCATTTTCCTCTGTGATAAAGAAATTAATACCTAGTCAATACAAATTAAAAAATAAGAGCGCTTTCACATTAGTGCGATAGTAACGCGTCAGCAGCGCGGCAGCGGTGTTTTTATAATGTGAAGGCATGCATCCGCTGTCACATAGTATGAAATTTTCGGCAGCGCGTCAGTCGCGCTGCTAAATTGCCTAAATGTGAAAGCGCTCTAACTGGTGAAGAATATCTGATCTGCCTCAATTGAAAGAAATAGGTTCACCATTTTAAAATAGGTCTAAAGAGAAGTACAAAGTCAAAGAATCTAACCAGTAATGAACTCAAATGCATCCTGGGTGAAGGCATCATGTGCGGTGGCCACGATCCTCATACCCCTAAGGCGAAGGTCTGGAGTGGAGTCAGCCACAAGCACCGCTATGTTGTTGCGCACCAGGACGTCCGTGTGGTTCCTCTCCAACTCAAATCTTAACAAAACACAATTAAACATTTATCATACGTGCTCAAATAGCGACCACGGACCAGAAGATGTAGTGTGGGTAGGCCTCCCACTAGGATATGCAATAAAAGATTTGAAATTGAATTTGAATTTTAGGTGGACCAACGATTTGAAGAACACTCTTCATTTTTTTTTGTTTCTTTTTACAATAAAATACTTCAACACACACCCCGCGGGTGAGAAACCTGGAGTCTTGAAATACAGGATTATCCTAGTTATACAGGGTGTTCCAAAAAGTAGTGTCAAGCCGAAGCCCAAAGGTAGAGCATCACTAGGGCTATCCAAATCACCACCATGTATGTTCCGCGATTTTTGATAGTTTTCGAGTTATGATTGTTTTAAATTCCTGTGCTTAGGCACTTTTTTGGTTGTGGCGCGAATAGTCAAGTTAGCGAATAGTGATTTTTTCATTATTATTATATGAATACTAGACCTAGCTGATTCAGAAGTATTTATATCCAGAACACGAATGTAAACTAAAAACGTTAAAAATCCTGTGTGTTGTAAAAAAAAAACAACTCGAAAACTATCAAAAGTCGCGGTGATTCAGGTAGCCCTAGTGATGCTCTAACTCTGGGCTTCGGCTTAATACCTCTTTTTGGGACACCCTGTGTAATTACACGCGAGCGATAAAGATGGGTCATTGGACCTATTTCTATCTGCTCGGCGACCGGACTTTATAAAGGTAAATACCTTGTGCCGATCTCATCCAGTCCATGGAGCAGTTCTCCAGGTATCTCTTCTTTACTTCCATCATCCATTAGAACATCGACCTGTTATATGACAAATTTCAAATAATTTAATACACATGCGTACCTACTCTTATTAAGTATTAAAGCTTCAGCAATCAGTTAACTAAATAATACTCCTTCTGGCGCAGTCGGGTAAAAATTGCCATATTAATCCTTGATGTAAAGCACTGTCCCTGTTGTAAAGTTATTTCTGCTTTTAAAACCACGTATCATTAATACGGTTAGATATTGAACTTTAGAATAGTGATGATAAAGTTTAGTCTTACTTGATCGAAGACAGAATGAACCCCTTCAGACGTGATTGATAAAGACTCCTTTTCTAAAAGATGATTTAAATTCTCCAGCACGCTACCAACTCGATCCTACAAACAATAACATTGTAAATAAATTGATTCTCATACCTTACTACATAATACCGAACCAAAAGGCATAACTATACTTAAAGGCAACGGAACGATAAAAATGATTTAGCTTAAACAAACAAATCTAGCATCTAATAACAAAATAGCACACCCTGAACTCAAAGAAACTACTTTTAGCCACCGTCAAATACACTCAACATCAAATAAATCGCACCTCCCGCAACAAGCACTTTCAAACGTATGCATCCCCACTTCCCACCAATATTGGCACCATTTAAAAGCCTAGTTCTAAACTTCATTTCATTAAAGGAAAGGTTTTTACCCCAAAAATGTGTCTTTAGAAGGTTCCAGAGTCACTTCTTCAAAAAATAGGCTATTACGCTTGAGCCAACTTTTATGGCTATAAAACTGTTAAGTTGGGATTAATCGCTATCCATCTGTTAAAGAGGACACGTGTGATCATTTTTTGGTTTTCGTTCGTTCGTTCGTTTCAGCCAAATGACGTCCACTGCTGGACAAAGGCCTCCCCCAAGGTTTTCCACAATGAACGGTCCTGCGCTGCCCGCATCCAGGCTCTTCCCGCGACCTTTACCAGATCGTCGGTCCACCTAGTTTTATAACCATAAAATTTGGTCTAATTGATCCCAGAGGTGAGCCCATAGTGAGGTCTCTTTTCAAGTCACATTTATGGTATATGATAATCATTTATTTAGAAATTAAATGTGTTTTTCTTTAAGGATATTTATTGGGGTTTCAAATAACACCAATATTGTTGGGGCACCATGATTGTGTCAGAAGAAAATCTTTAAAGTTCGCGTCGCGGAAGGTGCGGTTTATTTGATGTTGAGTGTAGTTCGTGACATCAAAAATGGCCAAAAAGTTGACAACATAATGGAATAAGGTTTTATTCCACTATGACAAACTTTTTGGCAACTTTGGGTGTCATGAACTACTTATTTGACTGCAGAACACTGCTGGACTAATGCTCTTGTAAATCGATTAAACAGAAGTAGTTGACTCTATGTTCATGCGATCCAACTCTGATAGAAAGTTTTACACGATACCAGGACCCTAATTTAACACGCGAAGCCACATTCACTGACTTTGGCTATTTCTTGCGCTGCTTCTTCTAAACTATCCCTAAACAAATGTACCTAACTAGGATCGAGTGAGCTTTTGGTAACTGTTTGTTTTTTCAACGTTTTCAGCATTTGACGACCTTCATTTTTCTTAATGCTTCCAAAGTTAAAGATTTATTTAATTTTAATTGTGTCACTTTCACTTGCTCTACCACTGTTTCGGTACAATTAGTACCTATCATAGTGATAGGAGATTTGGCGCAAGAAACTCTATCAACTTTATAGCGTGCGAGTTATGTATATGTAAGAGTATGCAAAAATAAGATGTGCAGATGAAAAATGTGTACATGGACGCGATATTCCAAAATGGCCGATAACCTATGTAATGCTACAATCGAGTGTGCAGTATGACGTTCCCAAACAGTCGTGGTTGTGGTGTGCAGTAAATGGCAAAGGCTATGTGAACGTTTTGCTTCCCATTGAACAACAACTCACCAATCTCCTCCAGAACGATGTATGGGGCTCATCATCGATAAAGCGCCTTATTTTTTTATCTTTTAAAGCCTGTTATGAAAAAAATGCTACAGAAAATGAACCCTTTCTTTACATAACAGATCTTAACTTATTTTTAAAGTCTTTTGTTACACTGTTGTTAAATCGAATGCTTCTGAATTAAATTAGACATGTTAATTTGCTTACAATCGGAATTTAACTTAAGTACCTAGTCTTAAAAAAAATAATATACAATTTTACAAACCTTTGGGTAGACTATTAACTGTAACAGAAAAACGATGTTTTAGTAAATCAAAGCTGACGTTTTTAAATTAATAGTAATACTGCTAAAACGAATTATTTAAACTAATTGTCTCCAACAAAAAACATTTAAGAAAATAAATGAGATTTATTTTGTGATATTGTGGAACCAAAAAGTATATTAAAAAATCCTATATTGACCTCGTCAATCTGTTCCTTACTTACCAACTTAGGTATATCAAAAAATAAATCATTGCATTTTTTTGTTTTGAACAGTTATTTTATGAATGAAGCAAGAGAGAGTTTAGCTTGATATTAAGCCCAGGCGCAGACCACCGATTTTTATCGGCCGATAGTTGGGTCCGATTCTAATTTGTATGAAAAATCTATCTGTGTAATGTGCGCATGCACTACTGCAGATTAACTGCCCGACTAAACTATCGGCCGACAAAAAGTTTGCAGTCTGCGCCTAGGCTAACATTTAAAAAATTGGCCAAGTGCGAGTCGTGCCACGCGCAGTGTAGGGCTCCGTAGGGGAACCTGTTGTACTTAGGCCAGTTTTTCGAATTTTGATTTTTTGAAAAATAATGGTGATAGTTAAACTTGTCTAGTGCAGTTATATTTAAAGATCATTTAATTAACTACATAATTCATTCATA